CCTTTAGAAGAAGCCAGACCAGCTGACGGACCCAGAGCTCCGAGCCCACCTGTTCGATTCAACTGTTCTCCCTGCGCTCTACGCAGCAGAGACGTGGCCTGACACTATGGCTACGTCAAAGGCTCTCCGAACAACCCACAGAGCATTGCAACGACGTCTTCTGAAGTACAACCGACGCACTCGACATCTCGTAGGACTTCGCAGTTCAGATGTGAGATCAATATCTCGTCTTCGCGAAGCGGAATACGTCTTTAAGGCAAAGCATCGATGGGCTGATCATATAATGAGAAGGACAGACAGATGGACACTAAGAACTTTGGAATGGATTCCTCGCGAAGCAAAACGTCCTCAAGAGAGGCCACCGACCACATGGGCTGACGTGTTTGCTGCACGGATGGACCAGCTGAATTCTCAGCTGGTGACGAATAATGGATCTTGTCTCGAGAAAGTCGTGGCAGCAGTTCAATACATACCAACATCGTGGATGACGCTAGCGAAAGACAGAATCGGATGGAAACAGTGCTGTGGCCTGCACGATAAGTGAAGACAGGCCATCTAAGTATCTATCTTTTTCTGTAGCCTTGAAAAGCTTTAAAGTTCATAGCAATAGCTTTTTGCGCGTTATATACGCGTATATAATGATAGCAGGAAGTAGCTCGCAATTCTCAGTCGCCTTCCACTTATCGCGACAATACGAAACACAAAACATTGTTCGTCGGGCCCAGACAATTTAACCGGAATAATTGAGTCTTTTAAATAAGCAAAATGTGGAATACAAATATACAAATGCAAACAGTTCACTTTGGAATAGACTGAAGACGTTTTAAGATGACTAGATTTATCTAATGGATTTTCTAAAAAATTCATTACCACTCAAAATGCTTGAAATTTTGTTTCGTTGCTAAGACTGCAGAATTTCACTATGAGAAATGGTAATTATAGTTAGTCTAATTGGAATAACGTCTTCTGTTTTGTCCCTGAGACCAATGTTAAGTAATACGTTGTTGAGAGCCTTAGTGTAAGTGAACGGTCAAATCCTGGTTATATTTTCCGGGCCCGACGGATAATGGTTTGTCTACGAAACATGCAAAGGATTATACGTTCTTTTCGTAAACTAATAGTTGGAAATTGGTTAGTACTCTGACAACTGGGGCGTACGAGCGGCATGCTTAAAATCCCTATCCGAGCGTGCGGCGTGCCTACACCAACTACAGTTTGTGTAAAACGTTTAAAGGTACAACTGTAATTGCTCGAATTTGATTCCTTCTACCTTTGCGCCATAGTACCGTCTTCAAACTGCGCTCAGTAAGCGTGGCGAGACCACGTTGTGCGCGGCTGCGGCGTCCGGCGATGTGCTCAGCGATGTAGCACTTTTAATTGGAGACGATGAGGTGTTCCGTTAACATCAGCTACACATGTTTCCTGTTCGAAAGAACGCCGTTTTCATCGTTTCAGCTGCGCTTGATCTCATCGAATTTCTGCTTCTAGATTTGTATCAGGACCTATCCTTCCACTTCCTTGACCAATATTAAAAGTTGTTTTTTTTTGTTAATTAGATATATCAGAATGGGTGTTGAAACTCGACGCACGGCTGCGGGAGGACGACATAAAAAATCCACTCCTCCTATACTCAGTCATGAGTTTGTTATACAAAATCACGGTGACATAATGAGTTGCGTTCTCATGGTCTTCATCGTCGGACTCATGTTTCCGGTTGGTTAATCTACTTTTTTTTTACCTTTGATTTCTTTTATATGTACACTCGTAAAAGCAGATCTTCCATTCTTTTTTGACTTTATAATTGTAATTCATTATAACATCACGTTTGTTTTTACTGAATAGATCCTAGTTTCTATTTTGAGTTTAATACTTTGATTGGTTGCCATCTGTGTGTGTTTTAAGGAGTTGAAAATTTTTGCTTTCCAAGCTCTAGGTTATGGTCTTGGACATTTAGTAGTTGTCTTCGTTTTTTACTTTTTTGTCTCAAAGAGCCCATATATAAAAGCGAAGAGATCAGCTTAATGATCAAAGATACATATGTATACATATATTTTCGTCCAATACGTTCAATTTTTCCAAAGAGTTTTCAACTAGTGGTAGTTTGTCCGCTGGACTTTTCCACCCTTAAAACGTTATCCTCAAACTCATCAAAATAGCCGTAGCTTGTTTTGCCTAGCGCCCTTCTTCAATTTTCCCAGCTTCCAGTCTGGCTGGGGTTTTTATTGTTATTTTTGTAGCTTACTGCGTCGATGTGTTCAGTGTTTGTTGCTCCGCAGTACAACGAAACTGTAAACGTCACTTCAGAATTCGGTATATTTTACACATCACTTTTTTTACAATATAATATATCTCCGCTTTGTACTGTATATCTTAGGGCCCATGAGTCTAACACTGTATAGAAATGGTCCAGCAGACATTCTTACTATATTATTCTACGCTGTCGCTTGGATTGTAGTTCACGCCGTTATCCAGGAATATATTTTGGATAAACTGCAAAGGAAGGTAGTTCTTGATTTAGACCTATTTGTCCGGAATTTTACTTCTCTAAATTTGTTTTTATGTACTTTCCAGGCTAGACTATCCAAAGTGAAAACATCCAAATTTACTGAATCCGGACATATGTCTTTGTTTGCTCTGTACTCAGCTTGCCACGCAGCTTACGTTATCACGGATTTCGTGCAAAATTATACTGACGTCAAGAGGTAAATTCATCCATGTTAGCTGCTTTCATTGCAAATGTTTCATATGCAGGATTTGGCTAGGATATCCCGAGGAACACCGCTGGATGAACCTCAACATGAAAATCTTTGCCATTCTCCAGGTATTTGAATCTGCATTTTTTCCCGGTTTTGAAACTAGTTATATCACCCAACTTTAACGTTGTCTATTTCTCACCAATAGCCTATACAAGAAAGGTAACTCGAATGGCACATTCTATCGATACAATATCCAAGCGTTTTTGATACGGTTACATTGCATTTTTCGACTTTACCTTTCTCGACACTGCTTGTCCGCAAAATGTACATGTAGAACTCATACTTCTAAGGTTTTTGAAATTTTATGCTACTGCTCTATGAGAAATGTCGAGACGTATGAATGATCTTGCCATGTGCACCACACATTTATCGTAGCCATGATTACTACTCTTATCCATTCCATAAATGAGGTTATAAATGCATTTGAAAACTTTGCACAGATTGAAGATGGTTTTGCTGCAGAAATATCTGAGCTTGCCATTTACATGGCGCTGGAAGTGATGTTTCAAATAGTAAGAACCAATAACATAACTCAAAGGAAATCCAATATTTAACCCACTATTTGCTAGCGCCTAGACTTCTGCGAGACGTTAATTGAATAGGGTTTGAGGGCTGCATTGTAGCAGCACGTGAACCTTGTGTTGAGAGGCGTATGATAAAGTGAACGATAAGTTCCAAGTAAGTCAGGACTTCCTTCCCAATTTTTTATGATT